TGGAAGCCAGGAGCTCAAGGCCAGTGTTAATGGAAAAGAAGTCAAACTCCTGGAGCCAAAGTTGAGGACCATGACCTGGAGCCACACCCAAGAAGCCTTGAGCAAGCAGACTCGCTGTGGCTGGGGTACAGTTTGGTTTTATACATTTCAGGGAGACAGAGGTTGCAGGTAAAGTCATAAATCAATACATGGAAGGTGTACATTGGTTTGGCCCGAAAACATGGCACATCTCAAAGGGTTATAGGTGGGTTTAAAGACTCTTTGACTTGTAGTTGGTTAAAGAAATGAAGCTTTGTCTAAAGGCCTGGAATGTTTTGAGTGAAGATAAGAAGTCTGTAAATCAGAGACAAGCTACCGCCATGTATTTGCTATGTAAATTGAGGACCTGCAGGTGTGTCTTGCATAGCCTTGGGCCTCTGAATGAGTTACAAAGGATGTCTCCAAGAAGGGCAGCGGCAGGATGAGGCAGGTCTGACCTCCCTTCTCACGGCCAGTAACTGAGTTTTAGGGTATCCCATTGGATAAGAGGGGGTCTATTCAGTCAGCCATTTGTGGGAGGCCCTTATGATTTTATTTCAGTTCACACCAGCCTGGGCAACATAGCCAGATCTGGTCTCTACAAAAAACATTAAAAAATTAGCTGGAGGTGGTGGTGCACACCTGTAGTCCCAGCTACTGAGGTTGAGGTGGGAGGGTGGATTGAGCACAGGAGCTGGAGGTTAGAGTGAGCTATGATTGCACCACTGCGCTCCATCCTGGGTGACGGAGAACCTGTCTCCTAAGGAAAAAAAAAAGGCTACGATGGGGGTCGGCAAACTCTGCAAAGGGCTGGAGAGTACATATTTCCAGCTTTGCAGCCATATAGCCCCATGGCAGCCACTCAGGCCTGCAGTTACAGCCCCAGTGAAAGCACAGACAACATAGCAAAGAAGCCAGTGTGTGTGGCTGGGTTTCAATAAAACTTTATTTACAAAAGCAGGCAGTTAATACCCAGAGTATATATAATGAACTACAACTCAGCAACAACAAAAAATTAAAAAATGTGTAAAGCACTTGAATAGATATTTTCCAAAGAAAATGCACAAATGGCCTATGAGCACATGAAAACACGCTCAACGTCACTCACCATTTAGAGAAATGCAAATCAAAACCATGGTGAGATGCCACTTGTCTGGGCCTCGGTGGCTCATGCCTGTAACCCTTGTACTCTGGGAGGCTGAGGGCAGGAGGATCACTTGAGCTCAGGAGTTGGAGACCAGCCTGAGCAAGAGCGAGACCCTGTCTCTACTGAAAATAGAAAAATTAGCCAGGCGAGGTGTGGTGGTGCATGCCTGTAACCCTAGCACTCTGGGAGGCTGAGGCAGGAGGATCACTTGAGCCCAGGAGTTGGAGGCTGCAGTGAGCCAGGCTGACGCCACGGCACTCTAGCCTGGATGACAGAGTGAGATAAAACAAACAAACAACCAAAAACAACAAATGTTGGGAGGATGTGGAGAAACTAGAACACTTGGGTACTGCTAGTAGGAGCGTAAGATGGTTTCGCTGCCGTGGAAAACAGTGTGGAGGTTCCTCCAAAGATTAGACGTTAAGAATTCCCGCAGGATCCAGCGATCCCACTCCTGGGTACATGCCCAAAAGAATTGAAAGCAGAGACCCAAACAGTTATTTGTATGAATACACCCGTGTTCATAGCAGTGTCGTTCACAAGAGCCAAAGGTGGAAATATCCCAAACGTCCACCTGTGGATGGTGGACAGACACCACCTGGTCCAGCCACAGGATGGAACATTAGTCAGCCCTGAAAAGGAAGGAGATTCTGACATGTGCTACAACATCGAGGTCCCTGGAATAGTGACAATTTTAGAGAGAAAGTAGAAAAGACATTGCCAGGGGCTGGGGGAGGGGCTGGGGACAGAGTTTCGGTTTGGGAAAGTGAAAAAGTTCTGGAGGTGGATGGTGGTGATGGCTGCACGGCAATGTGAATGGACCACGTCCCCGAACGTGCACGTACAAATGAAGATGGCAAATTCCAAGTTATAAGAGTTTTACCATAATTAAGGAAATCCCCACAGGCGTGGGGCGCTTGGGCCCCTCGGGCCATAGTCTTCCCTGATCTGGAGGCTCTGAAACCATATTTGACTTTCCATTGACTTTTTTTTCCCTTAAAGCTGTTAGAACTTTAATCTGTTGACTTTGACTGAAGGCTTCAGGTTTGTGGAATTAACTCCACGTTAACTCATCTGTCACTTGTCCCTTTGCGAGAAGGACAAATGGTTTCTCTGGGCTAGAAAAGATAATGAAAGGTTAAGGTTTTGTAGAGGACAATGACCACTTTTGCATCTGACGGAGCCACCCGCCCGGGGTCTATCTGAGATGACACCCATCTGCCATTGCCTCGTGGAAGGTGGCAGCAGCAGGGAGCCTGTCAGGGTGGGCGGGGGCTGAGGGAGGGAGGCTGAGCGGGAGAGGGGAGGGGGAATTCTTGTCTTCGTTCAACTCTTTTTCTTTTTTTTCTGAGACAGAGTCTCACTGTGCTGCCAGGGCTAGAGTGCCGTGGCGTCAGCCTGGCTCACAGCAACCTCAAACTCCTGGGCTCAAGTGATCCTCCTGCCTCAGCCTCCCAGAGTGCTAGGTAGGATTACAGGCGTGAGCCACTGTGCCTGGCCTCAACTCCTTTTCAATAAGTTTCTTGACTGCATTTTGGGCCTGAGGCTGGGAGTTGGAGGCCCAGAGATGAACAAGACTCAGCTCTTGCCTTGGAAGGTTTGGGGACCCGGGAGGGCAGGGAGTGAGAGGTTCCACTCAACAGACTGCTTGGTTTAAATTCTAGAGCTGCCAATTCCCAGCTGTGTGATCTTGGGCAAGTCACTTAACTTCTCTGGCCCTCAGTGTCTTCTTCTGTTAAATCAGAGTAAGGACAGGAATCTACCTCTTGGGTTCACGTGGGCGTAAGAGTTACTTCCTGGAAGAGTGTTGCCTGGCACACAGGAAGTACGGCGGGTTCCCATTATTTGTGGTAGTTTTGTTTTATAAAGCTGCCACTGACAGTGGATTAGTGGATGCTGAACCATTGCTCTTAGGAGAACTATGGGGTTAGGTTCCCACAACCATCTTGTCTCATTCTTATCAATCGATCAATGTATATAATCTTTTTTTTTAATAACAAAAGATGGGGTCTTGCTGTATTGCCCAGGCTGGGGTGCAGGGGCTCTCCACACGCAGGGTTCATTGCTAATCAGCTTGGCAGTTTTGACCTGCTGTTTCTGACCTGGGCTGGTTCATCCCTCCTCAGGCAATCTGGTGGTCCCCTTACTTTGTGTGTTTTTATTTTTGTGATTTAGTATTTATTTTAATTGACAAGTAAAAATCGTATATAATTATGATGGGTGTGTTTCTATTTAAAGACACCTTCCTCCTGCAGTGGGTCCAGTAACTTTTTCCAAATGCAAATCCCATCTGGCCTCCTAATCTTCTCATGGAATTGAGGGTGAAGATCCAGTGGCTGTTCTCCGCAGGGTGCAGAAATAAATTAAAAAATAAAAATAAAAGTAGAAATTAAAAAAAAAAAAAAAAAGATCCAGCAGCTAGGCTGCTCTGGGAGGCAGCAGGGGAGCCCTGGCCTGAAGCTTGTCGCCCTGGGCTGGGGGTGGTGAGGCTTGTTTAGAACTGTGCATTTGGCCTGGTGAGGTGGCCAGGGCCTGTAATCCTATCTCTTTGGGAGGCGGAGGCAGGAGGATCCCTTGAGGCCACGAGGTCCAGACCAGCCTGGGCAACAGCGAGACCCTGTCTAAAAAAAAAAAAGAAAAGAAAAAGAATTACGAATTTGCAAAAGCGATAGTTGCACATTCTATAAAAACTAGCACAGGACGTGTACAGTGCTGGCTGACTCTCCATCCGCTCTCCCAAGGCCAGCCCTGCGGACAGTGTGTTGTGTGACAAGCCTGGCTCTGTCCCCGCTGGCTGTGTGACATTGCCTAACTTCCCTGGCCTCGGTTTTCCCGTCTGTGAATTGGGGATGTCAGAGCCAGTACCTCATGGCACCGCCATGGGGAATGAAGGATCTCATGTCTATGCGGGCGGCCCGGACTAGCTCGCAAGTCTCCGCGCCCGCGTAGCCGTCTGAGAATTGGTGGTGCAGGGCGCACCGCCCCCTACCCGGGTGGCTCTTCCTCGCTGCTGGCTGTCGGGCTGGTGCCCAGGTTTCGGTGCCAGGCGGCAGGGCCGCGGCCGCGAGAGCATGACCTCCACTCTCTGACCTCCACCCTCTGACCTCCACTCTCCGGCCGGGAAGACCGGGGGCCGCAGCGGCCGAGCGCACAGCGTAGTGCACCGGGCACCAGCCGTGGAGGGCGCCGCGGGGCGGGGCTGCGACCGGGACCCTCGGCCCCGCCCCGCCCCAGGCCCCGCCCCTCCGCCCGTAGGCCCCTCCCTACAGGT